TTTTTAGTTGAGTATAAAGCAAAACTAAGAAACTTGGAAAATCCCCAGGTTTCCATTCACAAGTCATTTGGGGCCCAGTGTTATTGCAGATTGTGCCCAGGAAATATTCTGCAAAACCTGCAGTTCACCAATTTAGATTTGTAACCCAAACTTTAATACTCCAAGGTGTTGATTAGCTTCTGCTTTTGCACATGTTAGCTCTTAGAATAAACATGTACATTCATATGTGATTTATTGTTGTAAAGTTTTCAGTTTTGGTCAGTAGGCATTATATCTTACAAGTATTAATTCATTTCTTAACTGAAGACTAGGGATATTTTAATGCAAATATCTCTATGCATTGTTATTATAGCTAATGAACTACTAAAATGTGAACTCTTTGAACTCAGGCAGTATTTACTAAGTTGTGTATGCTCATTTGTATATGTCAAAATCTACAACTGCATTTAATTTATATCATAATTAAATAGGACAAATTTTGCAGTTAGAAAATATTTTAGAATCAGAATTTTTTTTTTTGACAGGCAGAGTGGATAGTGAGAGAGAGAGACAGAGAGAGAGAGAAAGGTCCTCCTTTTGCTGTTGGTTCACCCTCCAATGGCCGCCACAGCCAGTGCGCTGCGGCCGGTGCACAGCGCTGATCTGCTGGCAGGAGCCAGGTGCTTCTCCTGGTCTCCCATGGGGTGCAGGGCCCAAGCACTTGGGCCATCCTCCACTGCACTCCTGGGCCATAGCAGAGAGCTGGCCTGGAAGAGGGGCAACCGAGACAGAATCTGGTGCCCCGACCCGGACTAGAACCTGGTGTGCTAGCACTGCTAGGTGGAGGATTAGCCTAGTGAGCCGTGGCACCGGCTAGAATCAGAATTTTTAAAGTATACAAATTTAGTGATAGTTTTACTTTTAAAGATGTATTTATTTGAAAATCAGATTTACAGAGAGAGAGGGAGAGGCACACACAGAGAGATCTTGTATCCACTGGTTCACTCATCAATTGGCTGCATTGGCCATGTCAGAGCCAGGCCAGAGCCAGGCCAGAGCCAGGACAAAGCCAGGAACCAGGAGCTTCTTCCAGGTCTCCCACATGGGTGCAGGAACTGAAGCTCTTGGGCCATCTATGCCTTAAGCAGATTTTAATTAAAAGTACATACAAATTTTTATTCATTTTTCAATATTTTTAATTTCTTTCAACTATTCAATCCATTTCTTTTACTATAATTTGAACATATGTGTCAAAAATATATATGCTTATTTTCTTTATTGGCATCAGAGGAAGTGAAGAATATAGGGAGAGGAGGAAACTATATTGTAAATAATAAAAATGATCCCTGCCTTCCTCAAGCAGTATTTTGCCATTAACCAGAAGAGGCATCTTGGGTAAGTCCCTTCATTATAAGCTTCACATACTTTTTCTATAAAGTAATATTGAATGGCCAGGTGATCTTTAAATGTTCTAGGAATCTATAGCATAATTAGAATGAAAAAATATATTGAAAAAAAAAAACTTAAGGGAAATGTGCCAAATAAGCTAAAGCAACTGTACTATAATATACTAAGTATCTATATATTGTAGTATAAACTAGATGGCGTGTATACAAGCCACAAGATACTTCTGTTGAAATCATGTGATGCATTTAAATTATAGAAACAAGTGATCTTGTGTTTTACCCTTCATAAAGTTTCCACATTGAAAAAAAAAAAAGAAACCAAGAATGATCTTTCCAAAAATAACAGCATTTATTCTGCAGATGAATTGTAATTTTTATAAAAGCTCTGCTGTCTCTTTTACTCTGAGTTCAAAGCCATGCTCTGGTTCTCTTTAGAGAACACAATATTTTGGGACTTATCCCAGATAATAATCAATGCAAGACCCTGTGGCAAAAATTCAACACAGATGCTTAGATGGATGGTGACCTCATGATATCTACCGAATGTTACTATTCCTGCTTTGGCTCCTAATAAATGCTTGGGCAGTTAAATACACAGAAGCTGAATGCAAGTACAGGCAATGGCCCCAAGAGATGTCAGGAGCAATAAATACTGAAGATCTGGAAATGTGGTAGCTGTTGATGGCCTGAGATAGTGTTCCAGCACAGTGAGTCCCAGAAACTGGCAGCCAGATATCAAAGGGAAAAAGATAACTTCTAGATTTTTTTTTGTAACTAGAGGAAAAAAGCCTCTGCATAGGAGCTACAGATGTATATAAGTAGCATGTTACGAGAATGTCATTTTCAAAGGCTACAGGATGTGTGATTTTTGTGGTATTAATGCGTTGTCATAATAGCTTTGGTTCACCAGAAAAGATGACCCTTAGATGAACAACACTCTGAAGTCAGAGTTTACGAAATTTGTTAAAAGTCTCATTTAAAATTCATTGTATCACCTATTTATTCTTGCAAATAGATCTGCTATTTGATACTTGTTTGTAAGACTCTTTAGGATAGAGATCAGTGGTCTCTTCCATGTATTTGTAGACTTGATAATGCCCAGCAGGTTAAAAATACATGATACGGCAACAGCAATAAGACTTTATATTTAAAAATGCTCTCAGACACATCTCCATACCTTTTTCTCATGAGTCTCATAATAAAAAAGAGAGATTATTCATATTTTGCATAGGAAAATTTCAAGTTTAGGGATCTCTAAGTCACTAGTCTGAGAACAATACCCCCTAAATGATAGAGCTAATTCTAAAATATTTTCATATTAAACCGAAAGCTTTACCTATCATATCACCTGGGCTTCTCAAAGCATGTGATGTTTTCCTCTCACTACAGCAAAGAGAGAGTCACTGTTCACTCGGCATCTACTGTAATAGGCACTATCCTAAGTATTTTAGTTTTTAATAATTTCTCCTCCCAACCCTATGAAGTGGGTCCTATGTCCCTATTGCAGTAGATGTGTTAATTTAGGCAACCTAAATGGCCTTCTCTGCATAACATTACTAACAAGGAGATAAGCCGGAATGCAAGCCCAGAACTAAATAAATGTTGATGACATCATTATGGGATTGAGAGTAAGATTATATAGAAAATAAAATTATATCATTCTACTAGACACTTCAGGTACATATACAGCTTGTATATACAGTCAACATAAAAAGGTTCTGACTTGCTTTAAGTCTGTTTCCTTTGGCTTTCAAAAAAGTTGTAAAAGGTGATGTGTGGAGAGAGAACTTGAGTGTGGAGGAGGTACTGTGAATTAGGATGACTTGAAAATATAGGAAGAAACACTCTTTCAATAATATTTCAGATCTATAGAAAAATTTAGATTATATTTACTGCATTAAAAGCAAACTAGCTTTTGATGGATAGGAGACAAGTTACTGCTTTTTCCTGGATAAGTGTCTTCCTTTGTAAATTGACACAGCAACGTTAAGAGTTTTCATACTAAGTAACCAGAAAGGTGGATGTCTGAATTTTCACCTGTTTACTCCACGTAATTTAAATAAAGCTAAACCAAGCCATTTGGATATCTTCTCTACTACATCTAAAGTAATTTTGTATTAGCTGAGATATTCCTAATAATGATAGAATTAGTTGATATAATTTAGCCTTCTTTGCTGGTTGTTAACACAGCCTGTGCTCCCTAAGGATGTCCCTCTGTTCTGGCAGACTTCCAAAACACATGGGTATTGTTTTGAACCTGAGCCAGAATTGCATGGACATTCTAGAATTTACTCATTTGCTTAATTTCACGTGTTCATCCAAGAGCAATTCCCTGTAGTAATTCCAGATAAAGACTGAATAGTGAACAATAAAGTATGGAACAATTATGAAGCTGAGAGATACATGCATCAAATTTCTAGCTCTTATGATATGTAAAATTGACAGTTGGTCTTCCTCACCTTTTCTTTTTATAAATTATCATTTTCCTTACTGTACTCTGCCTATGTCTCCCTGTCACTAAGCTAGAATTCTGCAGCCCCACCAATCCTTGAATGTCTGTGGTTCCCTTTGTTATTTCTACACCAAACCTATTACAAAAATGTTACAATGATAAACATCCACTTAATTATGACATTTTAATGAAAATACTAACCTTATTTTTTCCAGGCCAAAATTGACTGATAAGTTTCTCTTCTACTGTAGATTAGTAATTGATAAAAGTGCTAGTGAAGGGGCCGGCGCCGTGGCTCACTTGGTTAATCCTCCGCCTGCAGTGCCAGCATCCCCCCGTATGGGCGCTGGGTTCTAGTCCCAGTTGTTCCTCTTCTAGTCCAGCTCTCTATGGCCTGGAAAGGCAGTGGAGGATAGCCCAGGTGCTTGGGCCCCTGCACCCGCATGGGTGCAGGCTCCTGGCTTTGGATTGGTGCAGCACGCCGGCCGTAGCGGCCATTTGTGGGGTGAACCAACGGAAGGAAGACCTTTCTCTCTGTTTCTCTCTCTCACTGTCTAACTCTGCCTGTCAAATAAAAAAAAAGTACTGGTGAAACAATTCGTGGTAGGGCAATGCCTGAACTACCTGCTGTACTAACTCAGGGGCAATAACTACAGTTGCCTCAACTGAAATTAATGATGAAATTTCATATTTTACCATACTTTGTGCTTTGATTGGTGGTGGTTTCACATATTAGCATTTATAATATTAATACAGTGTTAACAATATTATCATTTCCTAATATACCATGGTTGTTTTAGTTAATATATTAATAGTAATAATGTAAATATTTTTATATTTTATAAATGTTCATATGTTAATTTTAATGTATAAATAAACTATAAATCAAAAATATATGCTAATATATATTATATGAAATATAAGCATTACAGGCATCCATTAAACCTACTGTGTTGGACAGTCACCCTCTCTATCCTCCTTATAAAGTCATCTCTTCTGTCAGCACTAAGATGTCTATTAGAAAGCCTTGCTTTTGTTGGCCTACCAGGCACACAGCCAGTTGGCTACAAGCCTACAGGTTTCAGTGCCAGATTTTCATAGGATCTTCTCAAAGTTGTTTGGTAAAGTGTAGACTAACATTACCTATTTCTTTTCCCTTACAGAAATATGTCATGAGAATAAATGAGATAATTTAGAAGAAGTACTTTGAGATCCTGGAAAGAAAATGCATTGAGCTTATCCAAGTTGTTGTAGTCCTTAGTATACTCATTTATTAAATACTACATTGAAGTTGACCTGAAGGTAAGGTTTGGAACTTTACTATTACTGTATTCGAACATAAGGCTTCTACAAAATTGTTTGCAATTTGCTTCCAGGCTAACAATACATGTTAGAATTTCTCATTTTATTGAATATGAAGTTGTGGAATTGCTTCCCTTCCTAAGTGCATTTGCAATGTAAACAATTTGTTTTACAAATCAAGGGCATTTTTCATAGCTGACATGTTGTAATTTCCAATAGAAATATAAGCTAAATTGATGAGTTCATTAGGAGGCGTAGAGTAAGGTGATGCTCATTTATTTTCAAGGGATGAATATAACAGGAATACTAAGTTTGTTTTTATTTTTATTGTTTTCCTTCTGAACAAAAGAATGAAGAAATCCCAAATTGTCAAAAAGGGAAAACAATGGGCGAACAGAAGCTTGTGAATAAAAGATTTTGAATGGAGAAAAAAAGGATAACTTACTACAAAAAGACTAATAATTTAAATGCAGTCTTCCCTTCTTTGTGCATGAACAGAAGGCAAAGCTTTTTTGTTATGAGTATTCTTCTGTTTTTGTCTTATCAGATTACCTCTCCTATTTTCCAATTGTACAAGTATATAGAGAGACACTAGTCTAGGTTACCCAATTCCAGACCATAAGTGGATAGTCTAAAAAAAAGCTGAGTCTGAGACATTACTTTAGTCTGATGAAAGACCATTTTTCCCATATTAATTATCTTCTATTTTTTAAATTATTTGTAAATGAGAGAGGAGGGCTTTTTCAAGAACAGGAATGTCCTTCTTTATTCCTGAACCAGAGCTTTCCAGAGGCAGACATCCTCTGTATGGACAAGTTAGGGACCTTATTTTATATTTGACAATTCTAGATTGATAAAAAAAATAGAATGTTTTCCACCATTCCTAATTTTTTTTTTAACCTGGGAAGAAATAGATTGAGTTCCAGCAAGTGCAACATTATGTTCTTTATTTGAATACAAAAAGAATTGTAATCCACTAAAATAATGTGTTAGATCAAATGTATAAAATAGAATAAAGCCATAATAAAGTTCTGCTGTCCTTCTAAAGGCATATGTCACTGAATTCAAATAATATTCCTTCAAATATTAGAAAATGCTATGCATTATCTTTATGAGTAGTTATAAAGAGAATACCATTTTGACGTCTTTATTTTTAACAGCACTGTCAATATAATGTATTCATATTATTAGAGTTGGAAATGCTAATTCAAATCTATATTACCTTACGAGAAAATGTAAGAAGGATGCCAAAATCTGTTTTAAGAAAATGAAACTTAGACTTGAGACATTTGTAGTATATGTTTCCAAAGCATTGGCCCAAAATATAGACAGAACATATATATTTTTTAAAGAGATGAGTATGTTTAAATTGTGTGAGTAATTTATTATAATAAGCAAAGAAATTTGCTTCCCTTTATGCTTAACACACTTTTTAGCAGGAAATTGCTCACCTAGGAACCATCAATACTCTTATACCACTTACACTGTCTTGCAGTATAAGGCTTTTGTATTTGGGGGTGTATATTTTACATCTTCTAACTCACTGACTGATGGATGCTTATCATGACATTTCCGGAACCTGAGCTGGGAGAGCCAAGAAGGGTAAGTTGAGGCTCCCCTCTTGTGTTCCTCCTCAGTGTTATGACTGTATTCTGCAGAGAAGGAATTTAAAGGTAATCTTTCTTCAAATTTCCTCTTAGTATGAATTGTTACAGGTTGGGGACAGAGGGTTACCCTATTTGCTGATCTTTGGCCAAAATATACAATTTTTAAGATTTATTGTTGAAAATTCTAATTTCGTATATTATTTCTGCTTCTGTATACTGGATATATAGATATTGAAACAGAAAAATACCAACAGGTATGTATGTGAGTAAATTATTTTATACATTGAATATTTATAATTATATAGCAATATTTTCAACTATAATTGAACTTTGATCCAAACAGTAAAATTTTTTAAGTAAAACAAATATATTTCACAAAATATATTATTTGATATATACACTAATGCAGCCATTTATATACTAATGTAGCATTTTACCTAAAAGAAAAATAAAAAACCTAGTGTGTGACCTTGAAATTTTTTCCTGTATAGATCAGTGCCTCTAGTGTGTATAGGCAGTGGAACTAGCTAAGCCATCTCTCCCTCAACATGATATCCAGTGTTCTTGTAGATTGAAAGAAAAGTGAAAGAAGGGGTAAAACGCATAATATTCCCCCTTCAGTATAACAAAATATTTACTTTGGTATTTATTGCTCTAAATTAATTTGAGCAGAAAATAATGAATGATGAATTACTTAAGGAGAGTAAAATGCAACTGTAAAGAATGATACCCCTGAAGATGATGATGTATTAGGCAGACCAGCATGGACATCTAAATATGAATTTGTAAAGAAATTGTCAGGAATAAAGAATATTAAGGAGCAGACAATATAAGAAGGAAATATGCTAAGAGATGATAGTGAGAATACTGGCTTAAATGTAATTATATGTTCATATTAGGGAATTACTGTTCATTCTATCTTGGATAGAACAGGTTCAATCAGGTGATGGAGAGTATTGAAAACCAGATGCAGCACATTGTGCCTGATTGCAGTGGTCAATAGGACACTATTGTAGATTATTAAGGAGAAAACAAAAGCAATGGGTTTGAAAGAGTAAATCAGTGATAAGAAGAATAAAAGCTTTTGGGAAAGAAGATTCTGGAAAGACTACCAGATTCCATGCACTAAAAAGCTACTGCATGAGTTGGTAATAGGAGGAAATAATGGACATATTTCATGTCTTGATGGATTTTGTCACTGCAAGAAACACTGCATGCAGTGAAAGACAGAAAACTGATACTTTTTTTTCACTTTTCTCTTAATTTGGTTAAAGTGAAAGACTTTAATGAGCTTATGGTATAAATTAAAGGAGACTTTGAAGAGAACCTGGTACAATTGTTAAAGGAAATAGAATGTTTCCAGGGATCATGGGCATAGATGAATCTAGAATACTGATGAAAATAAAGAGACTTCAGTAAATATGAGAAAATAGACGTAGAAACAGTGCTCTCTAGGAGTATATTAATTAGAATTCCATGGTTATAATAAAAACTGATTTTTAATGATAACTCAGAGCAATAGAGCATCTTGAATTGCTTTCTAAACATTCAGTGATTAATTTGTGCTCAAAATAGGTTTAGTACTCTTGTTAGCAGACACAAAGGATCCATTCTTGGGGTGCTGAAAAGCACTCAGCCTCAAGCGGGAGTGTCTCAGACAGAAGCTGTATTTACCTCTGACAAGAATAAGAGATGGTGGGAAGCTATAGTTCCTTGAAGAACCACCTCCTTGAGAAGCCGTTTTCTAGGGCTTTAACAGCAAATATTCAGGGAGATTCCAGGATGTAGCAGAGGGTCCCTCCTGCTTAAGGAAAATACTTCATCCTCCATATGTTTAAAACTCTGACTCAGATTAATTTCTCTCGGTGTTCCTTGATTGACTAGTGGGCTGGCCCCCTTGACATACAGTATTTCAAGATAAACTTTCCTGCAACATCCTCTAAAAAACAAGTTCAGTTCAGTCAACTGTCTCAGATTTTCTGCCTCTATTCTTGTGCTCCCTCTTGCCTAAGTCCTACGCTCTGGATTTTAATATCAATGTATCATAATCCTATGAAAACAAGTAAATCATGTGTGTTTACACAAAAACTTTCTAGCAACCAGAAAATATAAAATTAGAAAATGTATTTTTTTCTAATGAGAATGATACTAAAGTATTTCTTACCTTTGCCAAATAACCATTAGAAATTATGGAACTTTCAATACAAATCTGAAGTATTTTTAAATTTTTTAATGAGAAAGCAATCCCAAATCTTTACATACTTAGAGAAACATCTTATTCTTGTGTAAATACAAACTTCAGATTAAAAAAATATTACTTGATGACTCTGAGAAGAAAATTCAGAATGGCATTGCCTTATATTGTTTCCCTGTTGAATTTTACCAAAATTTATACAATAAAGATTTTATTACTAAGTGTAAATAATCAAATCTCTTAGAACCATAAGGATCAGGCTATCACACTGGTGTTATTTCTTATGTGAAATTATTTTGAGATATAATCAGATTTTAACAGAACATGAATGCTTTTCTAAAATCTAGTTTTTTATGGATAAAAATCAAATGTTTGTAAAATATAAACATGATATCTCTAAACAGTACAGAGACTTCTGTTTAATCAGGCAATCTTCATTAACATGTACAAATAAGATCCTGATTAATGAATTGACAACATTCTAATTTTACAGAAATTTTTCATGGTGTGTTTTTGATTTTTGTATGAAAACAATTAGAAAAAGAGGAGTTTTAGGAGAGGTGATAATGACCCTTTCAAGATAAGAATGATGACCATCTTTCACTTAGTGAGTGCTTACTAAATGTCAGGCATCATGATAAAATCTATAGTATTTGATTTTTCCAGCATCTATCTTTCTCATCTAATATGAGAAAAATAACTTTGAAAATCTTTAATATCTTCCCTAAAATCACACAGTTAATAATGTATCAGCATCAATTTTCAAATCCAGGGAGAAATTCTTTCAATAGCCATGACCTTTGCCACTTTTTCATACTGTCTTTTGATATGTGGTTCAAAATGAGGAAATTGGTCAAAAAGGTCGGTGTGAGTGATCACTTGTTTGCAGCTTGGGAGAAAAACACAACAATCAAGAGTATAAAAACTGTATAGAATCATGAAATTTTAAACTTTTAATTTTAGAGGGAGAGAGACAGAGACAGCATTTTGTCCCGTAGTTCATTCCCCCAAAATCCACAGTGGCTGGAAGCTAGGAACCCAAGCCAGGTCTTCCACACACGCATGGCAGAATTCCAATTAATGAAGCCGTTGCCATTGCATCCCCTGCAGTCGGGAGCTGCAAATGGGTATTGAACATAGACACTTCCTTATGGGATGTGGGAATTTTAGGTGCTAAGACAAACACCCACCCCAAATAATGGAAATTTAAAGATAGCAATACAATTTTCAGATCATAGAGTCCAGGTTCTCAACTGAGAAAACTAAGACTCAAAATAGGAAATTAGCGAGTGACATTACAGATAGATCAAATCAAATAGGCATTTAGTTAATCAGTTTTATAATATTTACAGTAAAACCCTAATGTGTGTGTATATATATATATATTACATATAGTGTGTACATGCACACACGTGTAGACAATCTCTCTTAACATTGGAGATATGATGGGGAGAGGAGATTATGATGAGAAGGCAAGTCACTAAATTGTTCTCTACAACATTTCAAAGGGCAAAAAAAGCCTGTTTGTCATAATCTGTCAAGAGTTAATATTAAATGCAGAAGAACAACCTAGTGAACTCCTTCAATATATGAGGCCCGTATTACATATTTCTACATTTATTATCTCATTTAACACTCACAAGTGGTGTTTGGAACTGTTAAAGTGCGCAGTTAATATATGAGTATCAATATTAATACTTGTTGGCAAGTATACTCATTTTAGAATTATCTACCAGTCCTACATTCACAGATAAAAATGTAATAATTATATAATGATATCTATCAGTGTGGTGTGAATACTAATCATTTTCTCCTCTGGCTTATTTAAGATATAAGGGAAAAATTGTATGCATTTAAAATGATATCTGTTATACTTGTGTACCTTGTGAAACATATACCATGATCAAACTAATCAACATATTCATCACCTCATTGTCATAGTTACATGTTTTGTATGTGTTAAGAATACTTTCATATTTCCAAAAAATTCAGTAATACGACAAGAAATTATTGCCTGTAGGCATCATGCTCTTCATTAGATCCTCCGAGCTTATATATAACTAAACTTGTGTGCACTTTGAACAGTATCTCTTCATTTCTCCCATCCCACAGTCCCTGGCTAACACTATTCTCACTGTTCTGAAGAGTTTGACTTCTTTAGATTCCACATATCAGTTAGATCATGGAGTTTTTGTCTTTCTTATCTGGCTTACTTTATCTAGCATAATGTCGTCAGGGTTCTGCCAGCAGGATTCCCTTCTCTTTTATGGCTGAGTCTAACATTCCATATTGTGTGTATGAGTGTGTAATGTATCCATCCTTGTGTCATCAACAGGGACTTCGGTTATTTCTCTGCCTTTGCTTTTGTGAATAATGCTGCGATGGACATGGGATATGTCTTCAACATGCTGATTTCATTCCCTTTGGAGATATACCCAGAAGTAGAGATGTTGGATCATATGGTAGATAGTTTTCTAATTTTCCGAGAAACCTCAATATTGTTTTGTTTAATGACTGTGCCAATTTACATTCCCACCAACAGTGCACAACAGCTCCTTTTAAACTATTCCTAACACTTGTTATTCTTTCTCTTGTAATAAAAGTCATCCTGGCAGATGTGAGATGGTTTGATTTAGACTTCCCTAATGTTAGTGATATTGAATACTTTTTTCACATGCTTCTTGGTCATTTATATCATCTTCTTAAAAGTGTCTATTCAGGCCCTTTGCTTATTTTTTTAGTTATATTATTTGGTGTTTTACTACTGAGTTATTTGAATTCCTTATACATGTTGTATATTTAACCTACCTTTGGCACTTTAGGCTGGCACAAAAAAAAAAATACTTCCGAGTGGGAAGTTTGTAAACAACAATTTATTGCTTCCAGTTCTGGAGGTTGGAATGAATATAATAAGGCACTGGCAGATTCAGTGTCATGGATGGTGCTTCCTACTTTGGCCTCACATGTTGGAGACAAAGGGTTTTCAAGTTCCTTCCAGCCACTTTTATAAGGACTCTAATGCCATTTATCCCTCATGGCCTACTCCACTCTGACAATCCCCATGTCTTCACACCAAGGCATTGAGGAATAATTTTCAACATATAATTTGGAAGGAGGTAGGGTACACACATTGAGATCATGGTCAATACCTTATCAGATGTGTGGATTTTAATTATCTTATTCTATTCCAGAGGTTATATCTTCACACTGTTGACTGTTTCCTTGAGAATGCAGAAGCATTTTAGGTAGAATTCCAGACGACCAATGCTTTAAAAACAAAGTTGCCTCTAGTTGGATATGCCTTGGTACATCCCAGCACTTTACTATGGAATATGATTATGTTTCTATACAGTGCAAGCTTTTCTATCCTAGAGTATCTGATTGCAAGTGCTTTAAATGGTATTCAAATATTATTTTGTTTACATATGGTTTTTCTGATATCCAAAAATGAAATGATTTAAATAAGCGCACACACACACCAATATATAGCATCTATGATCCAGATCCAGTTTCTGGACCTCTGTTTCTGCACTATAATCTACTAAAGATATTGTTGAAGGTGTAGATTCCCGGCTGTACTCCAGACAAACTGAATCAGAATCTAAGGCTTGAGCCAGATATGCATTTTTAACAAATTCTTGGTGATTTCTGGGGCTTGTGCTGTGGTTCAGTAGGTTAATCCTCTGCCTGCGGCGCCGGCATCCCAAATGGGCACCGGTTCTAGTCCTGGCTGCTCCACTTCTGATCCAGCTCTCTGCTATGGCCTGGGAAGGCAGTGGAAGATGGCCCAAGTCCTTGGGCCCCTGCACCTGTGAGGGAGACCCGGAGGAAGCTCCTGGCTCCTGGCTTCAGATTAGAGCAGCACCAGCTGTTCTGGCCATTTGGGGAATGAACCAACAGAAGGAAGACCTTTCTCTCTGTCTCTCCCTCTCACTGTCTGTAACTCTGCCTCTCAAATAAATAAATAAAATCTTAAAAAAAACAAAACAAAACAAAATTCTTGGTGATTTCAATACATGTTAATGCTGAGAAGCCTTACTCTGTATTCTCAGTCAAAAGCTGTTCCTTATTGCCACCAAAGGGTTAATTTAGCAACTATGAAAGCATTTTTCCTGTTTATTTTTTGCATTATATTGTGGGAGATTCATAACTCATATGTATCAGGAAGAACCTTGTCTTGAGAGGAAAAAAATATCAATGTTGGAAGCAGTTATTTTCTTTTCCTGAAGAATAAATATATGTATACATGTATATGTATGTACACTTACTTGTATATGAAATAGGAAGGAAAAATTAACTACTGTTGTCACCCTCATATAAATAACGTTTTTAAGAAGTTAAGTTGGGTATATGATTCCAAGAAGAGATATCACATTTGTGTGCATTTTGTCCTTATTTTTGATTCTCCTATCTACACAACCCTTTACAGTGAATAATGGATGCCCTGTACTCCTTTGTAATACAGTCACTGAATTGCACTCATGGAAATCTTCTTTAAAGGTCATCTTGTCCTTCGCTTGACCTCCAAACCTCATGTATTTGAAATTCTATTTTTAAAAGATTTCCACAATTGCAATGTTCTGAAGTCCCCTGAGAACCCATTTAGTGTTGAACAGTCTTTTCCATTATCAAAAGCGTCTTTCTTCCTTCCCCTGTTTTTCTATTAAAATTCATCATTCTCTGTTATGTTTTCAATGAAAATGGAAAATCCGTGGTCATCATCATCTGTGACATAACCCTTCATTGAAGACTGTTAATAAAGACCCTTTAACCAGTTCTTCTCTAGCCAAGTAACATAAGTCCTTTAAACATTCATTAGAATTTCCATTTTCTAATCCTTCAGTTATTTCTTTTCTTCAATCTTGAGCTCACTTCAACCTCAAGTTCTGGGATGTGAAACTAGACAGTAGGAGCTCGCCTTGGCTGAATATAATAGTAGGATTACCTTGCTGTTCTTATTTACTCTACTCCTATATATGCATCCTGTAGAACTCTGAGAGGTACAGATAAGATGTAAATGGTGTCCTGATGCTCATGGTCTTGAATAATTTCATAGCATTTTTTCATAAAGATATGGATGCTATTCCCAGGAACCTGGCTAGTTTGTATCACAGGTAATTACTTTCGGCCTATCTATAGCATTCTAGGTTTCAATTAGATGAAATATTCTTCATTTTCACCGAGAAAGCCATTATTGCAAAAAGTTGTTTCAGCGGAACAAAACAGCACTGCATTTTAACAGAGAAAGGACCACTTTATATTCATCCTGTAAAAAGGCTAACATTCCTCACAGGTATGAAACACAGTAATACAGACTCTTTCTCCCCAAGTTAATGTACATGATTCAACATGCTATTTTTTTCTTTTATATCCTGATCTGGTTTAGTTATCCTAAATGCTATGAAGAAAATCTACCTTGATAATGTATTTTCATTCACTAGTTACAGTGACTTTTTAAGATAGAACTTGACAGGTGGCATTTACCAGATAAAATGCTGGGCCATATTTGAGGGCCTGGGATTGATTCCTGGTTTCAGCCCCTAGTTATTTGTTAATGCAGGCAGGAGGTGGCAGTGTTGATGTTTTAAGTAATTGAGTCTTTGCCACCATGTAGAAGTCCTGGAATCAGATTCATCCATCCAGGGGCCAATGTGGGTATTTGGTGAGTGAATGATGGAAGTTCTTTATCTCTGCCTGTGTTTGTCTTTCTGTCCTCAATAATTTTTAAAAAGATATTTTGAAAAATTAAAAGTTAGGTAAAATATGAAATTGTCAAAATTGCAAGTGATATGTATGTATACTTGTTTTATTGATATTATTGAACATACAGAGGATTTACTTCATTTTTTAAGATTTTATTTATTTATTTATTTGCAAGGTAGAGTTACAGACAAAGGGAAATACATGGAGAAGGGTCTTCCATCTGCTGGTTCACTCCCTAGATGGCCACAACAGCTGGAGCTGAGCCAATCCAAAGCCAGGAACCAAGAGCTACTTCTGGGTCTCCCACATGGGTGCAAGGGCCTAAGCACTTCGGCCATCTTCTACTACTTTCCTAGTCCATAGTAGAGAGCTGGGTCAGAAGAGGAGTAGCCAGGACACGAACCGACACCCATGTGGGATGCCGGCACCACAGGCAGAGGCTTAACACACTATGCCACAGCTCCAGCACCAAGAATTTACTTTTTTTTTGCTTGTCTTTTATTGTCTTCTTCCATGTTAGAAAAGACCAAAGAATATGAATATATGTATGTATATACATATATATATGAACACATGTATATGCACACATTATTCCATAAAAACCAGTTGATCATTTATATGTCAGTGCCTACAATTTATTAGTCATCAAAAATTCGAAAACATGTTAGAGCATTCTGGCTTTTGATGTATTCTCTATTTGAATAGATTTGCTTTTTTTTTTTTTAATAGCATCTTCACTATTACCTCATTTTTTGGTAAGATTTATTTTATTTATTTGAAAGAGCAGAGTTAGAGAGAGAGAGAGAGAGAGTGAGAGAGGTCCTCCATTCACTGGTTCACCCTCCAAGTGATGGCAACATTTGGGACTTGGCCAGGTAAATGCCTGGAGACAGGAGCATCTTCCAGTTCTCCTACACGGGTACAGGGTCCAAGCACTTGGGCCATCCTCAGCTGGTTTCCCAGGCACATCAGACACATCAGCAGAGAGCCTGAAAGGAAGCAGAGCAGCTGGGACTCTAACTGGTGCTCATATGAGATGCCAGGGTCGAAGGCAATAGCTTTACCTGCTATGCCACAATGCCAGCCCAAAGGCTTTCTGTTTTGCTTTCTCACATACTCGACTTCTTGGAAATCGCATATTTTGTTTTAACCTGTTTAACTCTATGTGCATTCTAGAGCCTCTTAGATGCATGTGAAGGCTCAGGGGCCTTTGCAGAAGGGTTACAGCAGCACTTCTATATCCACTCTTTCCTCAAGTCTTTCCCTACCTTCCTGAACATTCTTCCCACGATGGGAAGAAGCTTCTGCCTAAGCAGGCTTTGTGAAGGCATATCTTCCTAAATGGAATGCAGCTGCATTAGCAGAAGGTTTGGGTTATTATTAGATATTTCTTTTAGGAAAACTCCTTATCATACTCCAAGGACATAGAAGATGAGCCAGGATCGGAAGTGGAGCAACCGGGACTCAAACCCTTAATTATATATTTGTAAAAACAGATAAAAAAAGATCCTTTTCGAAGATTAAAGATGTGGAAACAAATAGGGTGGTTTGTGAGCATAAATCTGTGGGAATGTATTCAACATATATTAGACCATAAACTGTTAAAGGGCAGGAACTATACCTAATTACTTAAATTACTTTAATAATTAATTACTTCCCTCTAGATACTGAATTAGATGAAAGATACATGCTCAAAAAATTATATTTTGCAAGTGCACCTTTGCTTTCTGGAATAATGAAAATGATTTTTAAAAACCACTAAAACTGAAGTATAACTTTTTTCTATGAGTCACTTCATAGCAATATAAATATTAGGTCATCACTACTATTTTCAATAAAGTGCATTTGGATCAACTCCAAAACTGTTTTGCACAGTTCATTTTTTTCTCTTCTGAAAAATCATTATTGTGGTGGCTTTTCATAATTAACAAGCAAAAATCATAAAATAATATTCTTAAGACATAAAAATTCAACAGTATGGGGTTGTTTTCTCTCATGAAGCATTCAGCAGATGGTAGGATCACTGTGATTCTTGGTGAGTGGGAAGTAAGAACAGTTCCACATTGTACCATGGACAAGTGTCAGCTGACAAGAACATTTTAGTGTAAATCTGATGGGACTTGATATTCCCCTTCGATAGTGAAGTGTTTGTGCTTAAAGGATCCCCGTTTTGAGACTCTATAATGATGCCTGATCCATATCAGAGGATGGGAATTCCCTGTAATATTTCATTAGGCTTGTCAACCAGATTTATTCATAAATGAGAATAAATGAGCATGTCAGCATAAGTTATTGTGGTAATTTGTGAAACTGTTAATGAGATATTTTCAGAGCTCATAAAAGAGAAGTGCTATGTCATTAAATTACTTCACAATAATTTTATTTTGATACAGTAAGTGAGCCAATATCTTATCAAAAATGCCACTCTGATGCATCAGTGAACTGAAGATGAACAATTAAATGTTCCAATGAAAGGGGTTTGATATTATTTATAAATTATGACTTATAAAAATGTGAAGTTGTTCTTAATACATTGGACACATTGTAAACTTTATCAGAAGTAACCTATGCTTATCAGCAAGTAACTTAGTCGTAAGTATGACCTGGAAATTGAAAGTACAATGCACCCAGACATGTCACAGTGTAACAAGTGTATGGTATTCTTGAATATAAATCCTGATATCAGATGTGTGCTGAATGCTTGAGGGATAAACCGGTCTTACCAGGACGTCTAGAGAGACAGCACATCTTGACTACTAAGTCCAGTGGGTTGCAAGAAAAGAGAGAAAAAGGCAGGAATCCTGGAGAAAGATGAATATGTGAGTGCACCTTGATTTGAGAATGTTTAAAAATAACCTGCTATAAACACTGCGGCAGGAAAAGGAAGCTGGTGGTGTCAGCAGATACTACAAAGCATCCTATCAGCAGAAAAGAAACATAGGCTACTAGGATGGAAAATGTCTCTCCCTTCACGGAGAAGAGGCATCTGTGGCTTGATGGATACTAATGTTGGAAGTCAATTGGGGAGACTGTTTCATTAAAAGTGTACTGTTCGGCCCTTTAGTACCATCTATGTGGTATCCATAGATTGAGTATAGCTTTTGTGATGCCTTAAAGAACAAGTGCAGATACTATCATAAAGGTTTGTACACCTCACTGGGAATACAGAAAAAGTTTACTGTCTGCACAGGGGCCTGAGAGTCAAAATAGGAAAGCCTGCGCACAGGTGTGCTGTTGTGAAGTACCAGTATAAGCCTAACTCGTAAATACTCTTTCCTTTTAACTCTGGCTTCATATTGTATCCCTTAATGTGTCTGGGTTGATGGACACCTTCCTGAAATCTTTCACCTCTGGCTTTTTTTTTTTTTTTTTTTTTTTTTTTTTGAGACAGGCAGAGTGGACAGTGAGAAAGAAAGGTCTTCCTTTACCGTTGGTTCACCCTCCAATGGCCACTGCAGCCAGAGCTCTCCGGCCGGCACACCGCGCTGAGCCAAAGCCAGGAGCCAGGTGCCTCTCCTGGTCTCCCATGCGGGTGCAGGGCCCAAGGACTTGGGCCATCCTCCACTGCCTTCCTGGGCCACAGCAGAGAGCTGGCCTGGAAGAGGGGCAACCAGGACAGAATCCGGTGCCCCGACCGGGACTAGAACCCGGTGTGCCGGCGCTGCAGGTGGAGGATTAGCCTAGTGAGCCACGGCGCCAGCCTCACCTCTGGCTTTTATTTCACTAAGTAAGGGAATCATTATTGGCTCTATTCCTTAAAAGCTAAGTCAGACCCAGAAGACTTGAAGCAGACTGATCCTAAACTTATGCAACAGCCATAATCACATTGATTTAATGAGAGACGTTGCTGGGGTCTGGGTCTGCAGTAAGGACCTGGGGATGCTCTTAGACAGAAGAGGCCCCCTGCCACATGGAGCCAGCAATGTAGGTAAGACATAGGAGACACCCGTAAAAACAAAAGCGACATAGAAGTAACTGAACTAAACAGTGCCATATGTCTTTGAATGAGCACAGAAAGGTATATGAGAGTTTAGAGGGCTTATGGAAAGAAACACCTTCATTTGAGGCATAACACAAAATTCAGTAACGATAACTGGTGCTTTATAGTGTACAAAAGTTTTATGCATGTTCTTTAACTAGTTTGTTTCAAGAACCATGAAAATAATTATTATTTGTTTGTTTTTGAAGCTAGTGAATCACAAGCACAGTAGAGTTAAGAGACAAATTCAAGTCTTCTGTTTTGTAACTTTTCTGAAAAACTTTATTACCAAAATCATGTAGGCAATAAATAGTAAAGATCATGTAACCTGGCAATCAGATTCTGGCTTCTTTGTATTTTAGCTATGTGATCTCTGACACATTATTGTGTCTTTGTTGCATTTATAAATCATGAAAGTATCATGCACTCATAGGGTTGTTTTAAGGATTAAACGAAACAGTGTTTACAGTGAGTTCAGACTAATATCTAGCATGTATTCAGCAATAATTCTCAAGTGTTGGGTCTTAGGGCTCCTTTACAAACTCAAAAGTTACTACTCTGCACCCTAAAGAGTTTTTATAGGGGCCAAAGTGTGGCACAATGATTTAGTTTGCACTTGGTATGCCCAAATCTTGTATCTAACTGCCATGGTTCAAGCCCCATCTTTGGTTCCAATCCAATTTCCTGTACAGTGCACTGAATGACATAGCCAGTGATAGTTCAAGCACTTGGGACACTACTACCCATGTAAGAGACATAAGTGGAGTTCCAGGCTCCTGGCTTCAGCCTGCCTGTGCCTAGCTTTTGTGGGTATTCAGGGGGTGAACCTGATGGAAGATGGAAGGTAGGTCTCTCTCTCTCTTTATCCCTCTCTCTTTCTCTCTCATTCTTTCAAATAATTAAATAGAGCTTTTAAAAAAGGATTTTTGTGTATGTGGAATATAATTAACAATTTAAAAAATATTTGCCTATTAAATAACTTTAACAAATTGATTACAATGTTATATAAATGATATAGTTTTTAATAAAACAGTTTACCAGATAAAAATATTTAGTTATAAAAGCAGAATTATTTCACGCTTTTGTAATTATCTTTAGAATTTGGCTTAATAAAACAGAGCTCACTGAGTGCATGGGAGCTGTTGATAATTTTTGAAGGAAAATGTGAATAAAATCTGTTCTCCCACAGGTATAAAGTTGGAGAAGGGATGAATGTTCTCAAAAGCTTTTCATGCAGTTGTAGATAATCATTGGTGATGCTATAACAAACACTGACAAATTGTAGTTTCCTAGCTAATTGTGGTGTGGAATCTGAAACTATATTGATGAACATTTTGAAGTCTGTTGCATTAATCTATTTATGTATCATGTATTTGGATGGATGTTTCACTGATACAAAATTTTATATAATCAGGCATGGTCATTTGAAAAATCTTGGTTAACTGAATATTGAACAATCTTCCAAGTGTTGACACATTTCATTGCTATAATTAATATCAAAAAACTACATTGAAAGAATATGAACTCAGAGGGACAGATGAAAATTCTCTGTTTCTTATTTTGGCTTGAAATCTTGAACATTATTATTGGTAACGAACAATGCCAGCTGTTTTTCTTGAAGAATAAGCTTACTTTGTTCATTTCTGAGGAAATTTCTGCCAAGTGCACATCTGAATGGTTGTAGCTTATTAATCATCCTTTTCTATGTAAAATAGAAATAGTTCAGTCAGCACTGAACT